TTGTTGTTTGATTTTTTTTTGTGATAGCTCAACCTTAAAGTATATGTGACACTTATTATTCGCTTTCAATCGTTCTTCGACCCAAAATTTGAAACAGTTGAATCATTTATTTTCATTCGCCTTCAGCTAATAGCTGAAGGCTAATAAAAAAAAAAGAGTTTTGTGCAGTGTCCGAGTTAAACCTAATTCTTGTTGTAGCAAGATGTTCAACTCCTGACTTATTCTGTGAATATAAATAAACATTATTTTTAAGACAACAATGCTCTCTGAATTGTGGAAAGTAGCGAACCCTTTTTTACAATAAACTTGTTGTCGACTTAACATCCTTTTTTACGAAAAAACTGTATTTGATCACATTGTTCTTTCGAAAGGTCTAAAAAATCATGAAGCTTCGCTGTTTGATCTATGGGCAATAATTTTTTGTATTTAAAACATATGTATATAGAGAGAAATAAACTTTATTAAGTAACAGGTAAAACTGAAGAAAAAAGAATATGTAAAAGCAACAGCAACCATAGTAGCTTAATACAATTACTTCAACAAACAAGGTGTATTGACTGTTAATTACACGTTTAGAATGCATTATCCTGGCATGGTAAAAATATACAAAAAAGAGAAAGAAGTGCTCGTAAACCAAGCTCATTGGTTTAGCCAATAATGTTACAGAAATAATTACGTTAAAATATAGAAGAAGTGTGATGCAAAACGAAGCAAATAAATGATAAATATTTTTTTTTTGATATATATTTTTTTTGTATTCTATATTAGCAAACGTATTCCTTTTTTGTAACCTGATAAGGTTGTTGTCACACGACTTGCTTATTAAACCTGACACATCTTTATTATTACTTGTACTTGTTTCAAGTTCAGATAAAAATTGTAAAAGTATTATTCTACTTTTAGTTTTAAGCGCAAAATATCAGCTGCAAATTTTGTTTTTACAAACTTTAGTGATTTAGGACTATCTGTAACTAAATGTTTTTTAGCCCAAATGGATTTTCGTGTGAAAAATTTTGCATTGTTGTATGTGCAAACAAGTGCTGCTTTTCCATCATTGCATATTTATATTTTAAATATCCATTCCAGACTTGATCATATCCGCGAGGCATATTTTAATTGATATTAAAACAATTATATTTTTTTTTAAAAATACAATTTAAAAGATACAATTAGTCAATTTAGTTTACCTGTAATCATTTTATGGTCAATTTCTAAGTAACTATTTCTGTACAACTCTAAGAATGCAAACTTAAAAACTATAGTTTGAATGCTATATTTTTATACCAACTTTTTGTTTATGTTAATAATAATTACAACAAATACTTTATAATTGGAATAAATTCTAAATAATTGCAACAAATACTTTATAATTGTACATATAAAATTATAATACCTATAAATAAACACCCAGACGCACAGATACAAACATAAGTATGTGTGTGTGTGTGTGTGTGTGTGTGTGTGTTAGTGTTATGTTATAAAAACGACACCATTAATTTATACAATTGTTATATAATTTATTGTCGTTTTTATTTTTACCTTTGTTATCATGAAAATAACCTATTAATAATTATTATTAAACAAGAAAAATGAGACTTAAAAGATATCCATTTAACTATAGATATATTAGCATCATATACGTTTTGTACTAAAAAAAAATATAATTATATGTTTTGTTAAGAACCTTTAGTAATTGTATTACTATTGCATAAGTGAATATGTAGTATTTAAAATAAAATTTATTGACTTAACATTGATATTAGGTATTCCCAAAAAAAAATTTGGTTTTTCAAATAAAAATCATTGATTGTATATTGAATATTTGGTATTCAAAATAAACTTTATTGACTTGATAATAAATAATTAATAAATTTCTTATTAAAAAAGATAAAGTAATGGTAAACAACATAAAATATAAAATTTCAAACAAAAAAAAATTGAAAATTTCCAAACTTTCAGGAATTTTTCTGGAAAAAACTGAAAAAGTTCATAACTTGGAATTTCCGTTAAATTTTCAACACTACTATTATTAAATAAAAAAAATATTGATTGTAATTTCATAAAAAAAAGTACGTAGATAAATCTTAGTGGTATACGATATCTGTATCTGAGGACTGACGACACGGGTTTCGAAGAGGGGCAAAACCGTCAAATCGAAAAAAAAGTCCTATCTCTATATAATTTTTTTAAAAAGAATAAAGTCCTTTAAAAAAAAAGTGAGCAAACTTTTGCTTCCCAGTCCTCCTCCCCCCCCCCCCTAATCCGCCTTCATTGACTGTATTTTTTAGTCTACTTTACAACAATAACGACATTTAAAAAAAAAATTTTTTAATTTATAGCTATGCATATGTATTTATTATAGATTATAAATTTTAGCTAATACATTGTGTTTTCTCTTATTTCTAAACATTTTCTTAGGTATATATATATATATATACATATATATATATATATATATATATATATATATATATGTATATATATATATATATATATATATATATATATATATATATATATATATATATATATATATATATATATATATATATATATAAATATATATATATATATATATATATATATATATATATATATATATATATATATATATATATATATATATATATATATATATATATAATGTTTTTTTGCAATAATTTAAATTGTTTAGAGACCTATAGCTAAGCCACTGTTTTTTGTTACTTTTTAAAATTCACGAAACTAAAAAAAAAGTACATAAACCTTTTTTTTTTAGATACGTAGAAAATTATCAGACAAAACATTAACGATTAAATCAAAATATGTATGCGTCCGCTGACAGTTGATTAAAAAATTTTATTATGGTAATCCAATGATGTCAAACTTGAAACAAAAACTTATAAAATTACTAGTAAACATGAAACTTATCTTTCTTTTGAATTTTTTTTTTATAATTTAGTCAAAATAAACATTTTAATATACAATAATTCGCATAGAGTTGAAAATTGGTACATACCACTGGGGCATTACTACAAATAATGTATTAAAAGATCCCATCAACTTATATTCGTTAAAAAATTATTCAAGGTCAAAGGTATTTAAAAAAAGGTATTTAAAAAAAAAAAAAAAGAAACGTTTTATTATATAAATAGATCAAACAAAAGTATTAGATCATTAAAGTATATGTATAAATAGTTAACACTTAAAATGCATGAATTTTTAGAGAAAATTCATGCATTTTAAGTGTTAACTATTTTTCATAATTTTTCTACTTTTAGTAAAAGTAGAAAAAATAGGAAACTAAGAGTTAACTAAAGACGTTCTATAGCGTTCTTAAAAAAAAAAACAGAAAAAGCAATTTAAAAAATAGTTAAAAAAATGCTGAAACTGCTACTTTTTTGAAACTACTGCTACATTTTTGAAACTGCTGTTTTAGTAGCAATAATTAAAAAAAAAAGAATTATCAAAATACATAGTTACTGTACTTAAAATTACTTTTATTCGCTTATACAATACAATGAAGAACTTACAGGACTTTTTAGCTGCTTCATTAGCCACAATATAATATTAAAAACAAATATCTTTTAACATTTCTGAATCATTTATTACATAAATTAAGATTCATAAGAAATTCTAATTTTTAATCATAATAAAAGATTCTAAACGTCGGACACTTTCTGTGCCTAGCTCCGTACGGAAATTGTTTGATTTAGCTTTTTAACGCAAATTAAATATTCAGAAAACGTTTAGAATAGATTCCTAAACGTTTAGATCAATGTAAATTCCATTTAAACGTGATCTAAACCAATTTTAAACCATCATATGTCCGTTGGGATGTATTTAGATTGTTGCACGGTTGTTCAGACTTGCGAAATAAGTGAAAAGTTATTATACGCAAGAGCGGTAAAGTTTAAATTATTCAAAAGTTTTAAAATAAGCTAATGACATCAAATATAAAATAATTCTCATTGACAACAAGCTACTTTTTCTAACTTTTAGATAATAAATATGCAACTTATTATAGCAGTTTATTAAAGTTTATAAAAGGATATTGTAATAAATGTAACTTCTAGTGCATGATGCAATGTTTTAAATAAAATTTAAAACCTCTAAAAATGAATAAAATGTGACTACAGCATTATATATTTTAGTGTATTATGTTTATTATATTCAAATCCTTTTTAAAAAAATTTAGAGTGTAGAAGTTTATTATATTTAACTTGCAAAGATAAACAAACTGTTTTTCTTTCTTAGAATATTTACTAATATTATTATTCAATTTTTTTTTCAAGAATAAAAGATATTTTAGCAACATTAACTTTTTGTAAGCTGTTTTTAAGCTACTCTAAAGTCAAAATACATAGTTATATTGATTTGAGTTAGGCCCTGGGCCGTACTGATAGGGGGGTGTGGAGGGGTGTCCACCCCTCATCCTCCCCCCAGATTTTAATATTTTGTTGGTTAAACAGTACAATGGTAAATTGTCGGTAAGATTACAATAAATTGTAATCTTTCCGACAACTTTACCATTATACCATTTAACCGACAAAATATTAAAATTATTATTTTCTTGTTGTTTCTGTATTGCAAAAATGTTTTTATAACATCCTTAACGTTAATTTTTAAAGGATAAAAAACTAATTCTTTTTAGGAATTTAACGCGTATAACAAATAAAACTCAGCTAAGCATGTTTTTGGTTGCCGTTTTTTATTCTCAAAAATTGCGTTACGTAATTAGTCAACAATTTCTAATTACTTTAAAGCAAGAATCTTAATCAAGAGACTTGTTTACTTAATGTTTGCACAGAAGAAATCAAAGTTTAGTTAGCGGTGTGTTTTTATTATTAGAAATTTGGTACTAGTGTTGGAAGTTTGGCGAAAGAAGTAATAAACTATTTTGTTTATACTTGTAAGTTACGTATTTACTAATAAAATTTTAAAAAGTTTAAAATTTATTAAATCATTTATATATTTTTTTAAGGCGAATATTTTGTTAGTTTAATTTATAATTATCTTAGATTTCGGGTTCAAGATGCCACATCCTGGTGTTAAAAGATACAAAGTCAAATGCAAAGTCAAGAACTGTTCACATTCACTTTTTGATAATGACTATCGGATGACACATAATCGAATTTATCATTTGGATTATATCCGAAACCATAAGTCCGATACCTTATGAGAAGTATAGCGCACCACGAAACTCTTTTGAAACCAATTCGGCAATAAATTCCCAATCGTGCAGCAAAATAAGTGGAAATGAATATCAATGAAAATAAATCATCTGAAAATGAATCATCTGAAATTGAATGTGAGATAATAAATGAGAGTAAAAACATTAATATTACCAATGATGAAATACTAGCAGTGCCTGAAATTTTGGATTTCTGTGATCAAACTCTGTTTGTAGAATCCCAACCGAGTGATGTTAATTTATTGGAAAAAGAAACTACGTTTTCAGATTCGGTGGGTAAATTTGCAAAGCTGTGTAAACTTTTAAGTGAGTGCGAATTAAAACTAGATGAAGTGAAAAATATAGACAATTTACATTTGGAAAAACTTCTCATTGAAATGACAGAGCTTGCTTCTGAGGTAAAAATTTCAGCAAAGAATGTTTTGGATGCCAATGACCAAGCTCTTGCAAACATTTTATACAAAAGAAAATATGATAATATTGAAACACTTACTACAAAAAATTTCTTTCTTTCGCATGATCCTGGCCAGCGTTCGAAAATTGAAAATGATAATCTAAGAAACTATCTAATTGAGCTCGGACCACATCAAGTAAAACTTAATAACTTTCCTATCAATAAAGATATTGACAAAAGGAAGCAAAATCGTTTGTCATCATTGTGGTACAAAAAATACCCTCACTTAGAGTACAGCATACTTAAAGATAGCGCATTCTGCTTTGTATGCTGTCTCTTTCCAAATGGACCAGGTAGAGAGAATAGTGAAGTTGCTTAGGTTGAAAACGGTATCCGCACGTGGCATAAAATGAAGAGTCGAGGACAGAAAGGTAAAAGAGGAAAACTATCAGAACATTTTTCATCAAAATCTCATAAAGCTTCATTATTAGACTATTGCAATTATTGTAATAGTGCTCAACATATTAATCTCCTCTTGGACAAGAAACCAAAGACAAATTGTTATTAGTGAAAAAGAAAAAATAGAGTCTAATAAGTGCGTTATAAAAGTTCTTATTGATTAAGCTCGAACATTGGGCAGGCAAGGAATCGCGTTTTGTGGAGATGATCGGGATGAAAATAGAAATTTTAGACAGTTGGTATATTTTATGTCGAGACATAATTTGGTACTTAAACGATCGTTGAGCAACATAAAACTTAGAAAACACCATGTGACATATATGAGTGCTAAATTCCAAAACGACTTCATTCATTTGGTTGGACAAGATATTCAAAGCAAAATTGTTTCCGAAGTTAACCAAGCATCGATGTTTTCAATTATGGCAGATACAACTCCTGATGTGTCACTTAGTGATAAGTTAGCAACTGCTGTAAAGTATGTAGATAATAACTGTATTATTAAAGAAAGAATTGTGCAGCTATGCGAGGTAGATGACAAAACGGGTGATGGAATTGCAGATTTAATAATATCGACAATCAATAACCTTCAACTTGATGTCAATAGTGTTGTGTTTCAAGGATACGATTACACCAGCTCTATGTCCAGCAACATTAAAGGAGTTCGTGCAAAAATTTCAGAAAAGTTAAAACGAGTTGTACCTTATATTCCAGGTCAAGCTCATCGAACTAATACTTTTGTTGAACATGCTGTTAAAAGAAATAAAATGGCTTCAAATGTCTTTGAAGTTCTTGAAATGTGCTACGTATTTATTTCTTCAGGTACTAAACGATTCAGCTTACCTAATTCTAAACTTGAGTTTATTGAAAATTCCTTGAAACTTCGCAATCTTTCAAAAACTAGATGGTCAGCGCGTTCAGAATCCATTCAAGCATTTTGGATAAGTATGGAATCTATTGTTGAATGTTTTTATGAAATAAGTTAGTCCGATTTATTTGATAAGAAAACAAAGGATCATACTTTAGCAATACTTAAAAAAATCGTGAATCCAGACTTTATCATTATGCTTATGCTTATCAAAGGAGTCATTGCAAAAACAAAGATTCTTACTGATGAGTTGCAGAAAGTTGAGTTGAACATTTTAGATGCTAAAATGATTGTATTGTCTACAATACAATCTCTTAAACGAAATAGAAAAGAAGAATTTGACGTACATCGTAAAATTGATGCAGCAATTAAAATATGTAGCAAGTATGAAATCGATGCGTTAAAAAAATATACGAAGATCGTCATAGACGAAGAGTAACTCCAAAACGCTATGATGACAATCCTGATACGCTATGTTTTAGAAATATCTATCAATACTACAACCAACAACTTAATTGCGTGTTAGACTGTCTTATTTACGAAATGAATGAAAATTTACTGGCTTCATGGTTGAGCATTGAACCATTTTCTCTTCTTCAGCAGTCAACAAAAAACAAGAAAAGATGTCGAAAAACTGTGCCTATTAATGTCAAATAATGGAGTAAATACAAATGCTCATTTATTTCATGCAGAGTTAGAAAATTTTATGAACACATTTACTAAATCTGATGCTCCAACAAGCAATGAAAAATTAAAACTGTCGTGGCAAAGACAAAACATATTCCCAGGAGTTTTTAAAGCTTTCAAGCTAATGGCTTCAGCACCAGTGTCCGTTGCAAGCGATAAAAGAACATTTAGCAAATTAAAAATTGTTAAAAATATTTTGCGTTCTACTATGTCAGATGCAAGATTGGAGTCATTAATTTTGTTGGCGTCAGAAAAAGATTTAGTGGACAATATAGATCTTGACGTGTTGGTAAAAAAATGGTCTATAACAACACAAAGACGTATTCAAATTGAGTAATTGATTATGCAGTTTTGCGTTTTATACGTTAAATTTGTTGTTGTTTGTATATGCTTTTGAAATACTGTAAATTTCATTTGCATTGTAAAATTTATATAATCTTTCAGAAAAAATATATTTGATTTCTTTTAACGTGTTACAGGTAGTAAATTAAGAATGCAATTAAGATTTTAAAAATTTTTCCGAAAAAAATCCTTTTTTCAAAACAATAAAAATTTTTGTCGGTTATTTGACAATTGCATACCCCCCCCCCGAGTCTTTGTATGCTAGATACGGCCCTGGTTAGGCCAATGCAAAATGGTCTAAAATACAACTTTTAACAAATTCGCTTCGTGTTTTTACTATATTCAATTCGTGAATTGAGTCTCGAATTTATAAATTTTTTTTCTTTTCTAACTGTTTATAACAATCAATAAAACACCTTATAACGTTTTTTACTATTCAAATGAGCAAAAATCGATCGAAATAAGAGGCTGTTAATTTTATACGGTCATAACTTTCAGTCACTAAAATACAATTAGACTTAATTGAAAAGCTGTAGATATATTTAGCTTAAGATAGAGAAACTAAGCATTTTATCAAGTCATTGCCATCATGTTTGGGCAGTTAGCTTGTAGGGATATGTTTGTTCACAATACATGAAATATTTTGCAAAACTTTCGGATCCAACGATATTTAAATTTAGTTCAAAAACGACTTTTTAAAATGTTTCTTGAAATTTTTATAACAACTACATGTTATTATAAAAATAACATTCTAAAAATGTTATTACTCAAAAGTTTGTGAAAATTTAAATTTAAGTCACATTAAACTATTTTTATTATAAACTAATAATAAATAATTTATAATAAAAGGAGGTTCATTTGATTCAAATAAATAGAGATTTTTTAAATCAAGTCTTGAATCACTTTTTTGATTCAATATTAAAGATTTGACTCAATTTTAAAGCTTACCAGGGGCCCAAATATAAATGTCCAGCTCTTGACGTTAAATTAGTTTTGAGGTTGGTAAAACTTGTTAGTAGTAGGAATGGCTTTTTATCTAGAAGATGATATATAATTCCAATTTTGATATGGTATGGGTATAACGAGATCGTGAATCTTGGCTTTAAAGTTCCTAGTGATAGTGCGACGATAAAAATACTCAGTCTTTAGTTTAAAGCAATATTTACATTATATATATATATATATATATATATATATATACATATATATATATATATATATATTTATATATATATATATATATATATATATATATATATATATATATATATATATATATATATATATATATATATATATATATATATATATATATATATATATATATATATATATATATATATATATATATATATATAGCAATATTTGCAATATATATATATATATATATATATATATATATATATATATATATATATATATATACATATATATATATATATATATATATACATACAAGTATATAAATTTATTTATACATATATATATATATATATATATATATATATATATATATATATATATATATATATATATATATATATATATATATATATATAAATATATATATATATATATAAATATATATATATATATATACATACAAGTATATAAATTTATATATATATATATATATATATATATATATATATATATATATATATATATATATATATATATATATATATATATATATATATAAATATATATATATATATAAATATATATATATATACATACAAGTATATAAATTATATATATATATATATATATATATATATATATATATATATATATATATATATATATATATATATATATATATATATATATATATATATATATATATGTATGTATAAAAGATAAAAAAAGTCTTGCTTTTAAAATCCTTTAAGTACCACAATATGGACAAATACGGTTCATTTCTCTAAGGTAATTTCTCTCTATAAAAATATTATTTCTTGTTATGCATTGCATTCCACTAGTAATATATGTCTAGCTTCATTTCTTTCATTTTGGCGATCATTAATTTCTTCTCGCCTAGCCTCGTTTCTTTCATTTTGGCGACGATTAACTTCTTCACGCCGAGCTCCATTTCTTAATTTTCGGCGAATTCTTCTAATTTCAGCTGTTAAGGTTTTTTGACATAATGAAACAACTATGTTAAGTTTGATAAAACTTAATTTGTTTAATTTTTCGCTAAGCTAATCTAAAATGATCAAACATAATGAAAGACATATAATTTTTATAAATCTGAACTATGTATCTTTTATATATATATATATATATATATATATATATATATATATATATATATATATATATATATATATATATATATATATATATATATATATATATGTATATATATGTATATATATATATATATATATATATATATATATATATATATATATATATATATATATATATATATATATATATATATATATATATATATATATATATATATATAATATATATATATATATATGTATTCATCTTTTTTATTACTTTAGATAAATATATACTGATTAACATTACTTCACTTTTATTAACATTTTAGTCTGCATTCTTTGTTACATTAAAAACAATTGTTGCTAATCAATGTTGTTTTGTAGTTGTTAAAAGTTTGAATATATGTAAATTTTATGTTCAAAGTTAAAACGTTTTTGAATTATACGAGTATTTAGTGAATTATGTTTTATAGTTGTTTTATTAATGTGTTTATATTGAAGAAATTGAAGAAATGAAATCCTAATTACTCTAAATATTATGATTTCGTTTTTTTATAAAAAAAAAAAACTGGTATTGTAGTTTGTCCTTTTCCAGCTTGTTGATATTCTGAGGCCACTTTACCAAGGCCCATAAAGACAAGTTCAGCCGACAAAATAGCATCATAACCCGTTTTGCAGACCAAACGTAAATCATTTTGAAAAAAATCAAGTATTTTTAGAGTAAAAATCTGAAAAATTTAAGTTAAGAAAATAGTTTAGTGAAAGCGGACAGATATTGCACTAGATGTTAAAACAAGTAACTCATACAGTTAATTAGGCTCGACTAAATAATGTATTAGCATAATTAGTATAATACAGTTAATTAGGTTTGACTAAATAATGTATCAATAAAAACTCATTCATCATTGCTGAAGACATTTGATTATAGTTGCTACATATTATACTTATTCAAAAATTTAAATAAAAAAATAAATATAAAAGTTTTACATTTTTTCACTTTTTTTATATAGGCTACTGTGGTCGTTTAGCAAGCCCAAAATAGTATGCTGTTGCAAAAAAACCGCGAGTTATAGCTTTTTGTAATGTTAATACATTAAAAAAATAACTAGTTGCTGATAAATATTTAATTAGATTTAATTAACTCAAAAAGGTTAGATTTATGTATTACTTAATATGCGGTTAAATATTCTCTTGGCTTCTACCTAACCACAAAATAGACATCGGTTAATAATGTCATGTAAAGTTAATTAATTTTAGAAGTTTTTTTTATTAAATTGCATATTTATTTGACTATATACATGTATAACAGAAATACTTTACAAACGAAAATAATTATTAAGCTGCAAATATGAAACAATCAGTTAAAAAACATTCTTTTTGGGTATGATGTTTAATGATTTTAATATTTTATTTAAGTTTTTTATAACAAAATTGTTACACTGTTTTAGGTATTATTTTATTGTATATGATTATATCTAAAATAGTGTATAAATAGTAAGCAGATTACAAAAGGGCCAAAAATTTTTTTAAAAGTTTTTAGGGAGTTACTTGCTGTTATTAAACATAAACTAACCAATTTTTTAAATCAAACTAATGAAACAAAAATTTTTAGCTCTAAAAAAACGATATATATGCTTTTTATTTGTGGAAAACAAAGTATGAAAGAATTAAGGTAATTCAAAAAAAATCCTTAATAAAAAATGCAATCAATAATAACAATTAAAAAAAATAACAATCAATAAAACAACCATTTATTAGAAAAACATTCTTATAATGATGTTAAGACCTTTAGAGGTTCATTAGCATGAGTTAAGTTGTGTTTGAGTTATTTAAATTTTGACTCTTGTCACATCAACATTTTTGCATAGCTGAGGCATTTTCAATGTGTTTGAACGCCTTTGTTTCTTCTGCCTTTAACTTTTGAAATTCTATTTAAGTTCGGCGTTGGTACAATATAAAAGACTGCTTGCACTTGAAATTGGAATTGATGTTTTACAGCATATACTAATGATAGATGTTATTGTTTTGTATTTAAAAAACAAAAGTTTAAATGGTGTACTGGTGCCGCAGAAGTTGGTACAAGCAAAAACTACGGAAGTTGAGATGACAGAGACTCAGGATGAGATAATTTTGCGTCAAACGTAGGGAAGAGCGGGGGTTATTGGAACTGTGGAGTATAAGAGGACAGTTATAGCTTATACCTTCTATCTCAGCTAAAATCTTTTTTTTTTCAATATTTTTTATCAGAAAACATTTAAACTGAAGAGATACCGAAAAGCATTAAAATGCATGAAACCCGAAATCCATCATTAGATTTACAAAAAAACAAAATTTGCGATTTTTATTAAACAATACAAAGGCAAATTTGCTTTAATTGTTAAGAGTTTTTTAATTTTCAGACAGAGTTTTTTTGACCTTTTTTAGCAACTGTTTTTTTAAACATATTTGAAATTGAATTTTTTATTGCAAAAATGTTTATATAGTAATAATAAATATATGAAATCTTTTCGATAATTTAAACTTGGAAAATGTTTATGTTGTTGGTTTTGTTTTTGTACCTTAATTTTAGATGATTTGTATTCGTAGTTTATTTAAGAAACTTTTTTTTTTGTTATTTATTGTTCTTATATCAATGAATTTCAAAAAATATAAAGAAAACAGTGTTACCTAATATTAGTTTATGCGCAACCAGCATTTGTTTCCTAAGTGTCCCTACATGCCCAAATCTACACTATTAGCAATTTGTAAGCTTGAATTATCTACCAGAGTTGATTCAAGTAATTGCCTTACTGCATATTGTTTCACCTGCTTGCTGTGAACAGTCCTGTAAATGTTGACACTATTGATTTGCCTATTGATTGAGCAGCGGTGTAGAGTGATGGTTCCCCGTTTTATTATTTTGCCAGTGCAAGTGTGCCTTGCTCTTTAATAGGATGGTTCTTACTTTTCTTTACATGCAATTTTTTTTAAGCATAATTTATAATGCAATAGTTTTGATAATAATCTATTTAAAGTTAATTTAGAAAATAGTGAAGTTAGATATAACTAATTAAAAAATCATCCGTCACTAGAACGTAAAAACATGGCATAAAAAAAAAAGGTTTTTAGACATAACATATTACATTATAAACCAGATAAAAAGATTATTTTAAAAAAAGATAAAAAAAAAAGTTTTTACAAATAACAGTGAAACAACTATTTTATTATATGCTCTTTTTCTTTCACCCTGGTAAAACAGAGGATAATAATGCAAATAAATGTTATAGAATTTAGAATATATATCCATACAAATATATAGCTATTTTAATACAAGAATAATAATTAATTATAAGTTATAATTGAAAAATAACTTTTTCCGTGTTTTTCGATTATATTAAAAGATCCAGACAGCAAGCTTACATTGGACCAACGTTAGGCCAATGCATGATGACGCATTGGCCCAACGTTGAAAGTCAATGTTGGCCCAATGCAGTATTGATCATTGGTTAGGTATTGGCCCAATGTTGTGTACAACTTTGGCCCAATATTGTATGTTATATATCGGCCTAACGTTTTATGCAACATTAGATCGTTGTTACAAATAAGATGATTTGCATCGCTACATTGAAAAATTATAGAGAAAAAAAAGAATGTATGATACAAGTATAAAAATTTATTTATTTAACATAATTTATAGGTCAAATATACATATTGCAAACACCAAAGTTAAACCAAAAACTCACATATTGAGTTTTTAATTAAAAAATTCACTATGAAATTTATAGAGTAGTTTCAATATTGGCTGAGCTACTTGTTATTGAATAGTGTTTAGCTTATGATATTTGGTGCCCACGATTATTATTTTTTCTCTATCACATGTCTTTACCTCTATCTCTATCACATGTCTGCATAAGCCATGCTTATTTGACTTCACAGTTTCTGCAAAAAAAAATAGTTGTTTGTTTAATTATGCACCAAAGAAACATAACAATTTAAAAGTTATTATGTAATGCAAAATTGAAACTGAAAAAATAAACTTTTCTAAACCACTTACCAATAGCAGCATATGCAATCAACATTTTTTTCTATTCCAATTTTTTGTCCTCTTCCTGCATTGTTTAATTTTACAACTAGGCCAATTTAAAAAACTATTCTCAGCAAATAAAATATACAATCTCCTTTGTCTTTGTTTTGACCTGCAAAAATACACAACCTGGCAATAATTAAAGTAACTTTTGTTTAGACTTAAATTAATATAAAATGTAATTTACAAAAAATCTTCAAAGAGTCTTTTATTTAAAGTATATAAATTGTACTAAGATATCATAAAAAATGCATAAAAAAATTATAAAAAAATATTTACCATTTACTTACGTATTTTCTTTTCTTCCAGAGTACTTGATTTCTTCACTGCTTTTAATAGCAATAACACTCTTTCAGGCAATACAATAATTAGTATACCTTTGTTACTCAAATTTTTATAACTGAATTTGATGTGTTTTGTAGTTTACCAAGTTGTACTTCAATGACGACTAAGAATGAACACTAAGAAAAACATAAGTTTCAGAAAAAATAAATGGGTAGCACCAAAAAAAAAATTATAGCTTAATTAAGCGTTGTATTTTGAAAATGTGACAAGTCACAAAATTAAAATTTTACAAGGGAGTGAAAAATATTTCTCTTGTAAAAAATTTTATTTTTATTTTATCTAAAGATTGTTTCTTTTCTCCAAAAAAATCTTTACTTTATCTAAAAAAAATCTTTATTTTATCTATAAAAATCTTTGTTTTATCTTAATATTCTTTTATTTTAAGTGAGGTTATTTGAAAAGAATATTTTTTTGAAAATATTCTTTTTAAATAACCTTACTTTTAAAAAAAGTGTGACTCAACACGTTTTCAAAATACAGCGTTCATTTGTAAAACGAGTAACTTCTTAACTAGAATTACTGATTTTTCCATGACTATCTAAAGAAAAAAACAATTTCCTGACTTTTCCACGACTTTAGCCAATATTAACAAATTTTCTAAGTTTTCAAGGTACAGTACGGACCTTGTCCAATGTTTGTAAATAATTTTTTTACATATTTAAGTTCTGAATTTTAATAACACTATTTTTAAAAATAATATCATTTATAAAAATATTGTATTACCTTTGTCTATTAGATAAATTTAAATAAACGTTTATATAATGAATAATAATGAATCACCAGCAACTGTTACAACTTTAAACTGATATGAATACTGATATAAATACAAATACTGTTGTTTTTTTCAACATTTGATTTCAAATGGTTTTCAAAGTTGGTGACACCAACTTTGAAATCCAACAAAATTTTTTTGTTACGTTCATAAACTTAAATGTTCTCAAAACAACTAAAAAACCTGGCCAGTTTTTTCGCAACTAAATATATTTTCTGTGGTCAGTATTCGAGAGCGATCGCTCCGGCTTCTTGAACAAGCCTATAGTGTAAGCTTTTATATTTTGATTATTACATACTAAAATGTTAATTAACACTCTGACTTTTTGACCGTAGTATATGAAAAAGTTTTTAAAATTGTTAAAGTTAAAGCTATGAATAAAGATTTTCAATCATTAGACACTTACCATTTAATAAATTTGTTCATTCAACTTCTCAGAGCAAACATTAAACTTCTGTAAAAATTTTGGAGTTACAGGTAAATCCAAAAGTTTAATAATATTTTATGTTTTATTATAAGAAAATGAGGATAAACCATCTACACCAAGATATACACAATTTTTTGTCTCTTTAATCTTTATTTTGATTGGTCATTTTCGCTGCCTTCAGAAATTTAGCTTTATGCTAAATTTCTGAAGACAGCGAAAACAATTTATTAGCAGAAATTTAGCTTTATGCTAAATTCAATCTTGTATTGCTTTAAAGATCTATAAATCAAATCATTAATAATTAAGTTATAACTAAAGTTAATGTATAAGCTTAAAGTTGTTAACTGTTGTACGCAAACTAAATATGAAAAATACCCAGAGATATTAAATTAAAAAATAATTAAACCAAGAATAATGTCCCTCTTTCTCGGAAAGATGAAATATTAGAAAGCTCTACATAAGTAGAATATAAGTTCTTGTAACATCACTTTTTGTACACAGTTTTAATATGTTAGTAGATGGGGTTTCATAATCAAACACAGAAAAAATCAAACAAAAGAGACATATTTAAAATGTTAAATATCAGCTTCTAACAACTTTAATGCCACAGATATATTATTGATACCTTTAATAAAATATCTTATATTAGCTATATAATCTATACTATTATAAATAATGAAAAAAAAAATTATACTTAATGACATTTCAAATGTTTGATTTAATTAATAAAAAAGACATTTAAAAAGTCTACTTTATTAAATAAATCGAACACTT